TCATAAGTCTTAGTAGGACATCAATTAGGTCTTCACCACCTCCTAATCCATCATCACTAGTCTTGTGATTTGCAAAATTCTTCTTGTGCTCATTGATGACATCTTCAACAATTGAATCTACTTTATGGTGGATATCTAGAATTTTTTGCTTCACTCCACCAAGACCATAAAGAAACTTGTATGAAGGGAAAATGTCAGCCATATCAAAGCCTTGATCTGCTAATCTTAACACTTCTCTAATTAGTTTTATAAATTTGTTTTGCTCTTTTAGTAATTGACCAAATGCTGATCTACATATCATGGAGCTTGCAAACCAAATCATCCTTTCTGTAAAATTAACTGGCTCTTCAGAAGATGAAGATGATCGTATAGAGTCGATGAGATGAACAACCTCATCATGTCTAATCGAGCTGAATGACAGGACATTCTTTGCATTCAACAGTTCCATTACACAAATTGTACGCATTTGTCTCCAGTAGTCACCTGTTAATTAAGTGTAGAAATTATCAGGTGGCATATGCAAAATCTAACAAAGCAAATCTTGGATATCGATAAATAGAACAATGATATAAATATATCAAAAGATACATAACAATATAACATGACAAGTCATGTGAGATGCAATCTAACTCATTTGTATTATGTCATGTAAGACGCGTGTGTCTACTTATTCAACTTTATACAAGTTTAAGTGTCTACTTGATCACCCCCAACATTAGAGGGCATAGGTACCAGTTGATGCCAAGTTAAAAAGCACGTTTATGTATTTTGTCCAATTAATAACCTACTTATGAGAAATTCAAGTTAATTTACATTCTCCCTTAAGCAAGTACTCTTTTAAGGATTATATTGTGAATGTCATATATATATATATATAGAAGGAAGGATCCTCAAAGGGGAAAGATATTTTTGTCCTTCAAGCAAAAAGTAAAACTCAAATATATTAGGGCAAGCGCGCCTAATTAACATTCACCATAAGGGCTAAAGGTGATGTCACGACTATCATAAGTGATAATATCCGTGACCAAGAGTTTAGGCCTAGATGCAAAAGCGAGGTCATGAGTTTTTAGTACTTGTTTAGCCATCTCAGAAGAAGTAACAACAATAACAGAAACTTCACCAAGTTGAAGGTAGTGCATTAGAGGACCATATTTTTTGGCCAAATCTCTAAGGACATGATGTGGATATCCACCAACAATGTGATGCATGCTTCCTATAAAAGGAAGCTTACATGGACCTGGAGGTTATTTTTTAGTTGTTTGGCTATTGGAGTTTATCCATTTTCTTAGCAAAAAGAGGAAAGATAGAAAAAGAAAAATGAAACTAGACTGAAGATTTGCATTTTGTGGAGAGTATTTGATTATTCTTAGTTCAAAGTTCTATATTTATAATGGTGACAAGATCACATCGTTAGATATTATTTCATAATGTATTATACTGCTTTGTATTGTGTTTGATTGTATCGTATTATATATTATTTTAATAAATACAATATTTGAGTAGATTATATCGTTCTTCATCGTCATACAATGTTAGATCACATCAACAGTTTGAAGGATAAACCTACAAGAAAAGTAGGTTATGTGATAGAGTTACTTTAGAAAGGTAGATTAAAGGATACAATAGAGTTATTAATTAAATAATAAGTAAAGATAAAATGAGAAATAAAAAAATTAAGGTAACAATGCAATCACACCAAATCAATTGTTACACACAATGGACCTTTTTGTCATTATGAATTTAACGATAAATACAATAAAATTTAAGTAATAATTTTCTATTTAAACATCACTCGTCACGCCAAAAAAATATTGTATTTAAACTAAATTGTATCAGTGATTTATGAAATCATTTCACTATTAGTGATTTATTTTTTCAACCCTTGCTAATTTATATCCACAAAAAACTTTGAAAATTCTCTAATAACAGAAAGAAATTAAAACTCTGACAATTCAGCTTCTAATTATTTCCCAGTTGCCTCACTTGACTTTATACAAGAACATATTTGTACGATACTCTTTAAGTAAAAAAATTTCAATTCTTTAAGTTAAAATATATATTAAGGATCAAAACGAATACATTTGTTATACATAAAGGACCATTTTGAGTTGAGCATGTCGCATAGCTAGGGCTTGCCTAGTACGGTTTATATCTCACGTGTAGTTTGCAGATTATTACACAGTAAAGGGTTTACCCAGTGCGCGCAAAGTGCTCACCCGAATGGTAGAGCCTTTGACAGAGGTTGTAGCGGCTGTGGGTTATCCTGGAGTTCCCAAAAAAAAAAGAGGATCATTTTGGTCATTTTCTCTTTCTTTTTTTCTTTTCTTGCAAATTCAATCAAAATATCTGTGAAATAACAACCGAACGATTTTTTTGATAACCAATGTAAATTACCATTAACAAACAAAAACCAAATACACCTAAAGAGCACTCAATCTCCTAATCACCCTCTAAGAAAGGTATTAAGAGAGTTAAGCCTCATATAGAACTCTAATTACACAAATCTCTGGAACAACCAACTATACTTATTCGCCTTTCTAGACCGTTTAACTATCTCAAGTCTATCTACAAAACAACAACAACCGAACGATTATCAGTGAAAAAATAGTGATTATTTAGTAATATCTTTTCACTTATTGCGAAAAGTGAAAGTTGGAAATTATGTCATAGATAAAGTTGTTTTGTACTACATCTACGTCATTCATAAGTCTTTCATGTATTGCATTTGTTCGTTGGGATAGATACAATAACTATATGGATCCCTTCCGTGTCGAGTCAGAATTTTTTTAATAATAATTGATAAATTTTTATAAGAAACGTGATATCATAACCTGAAAAATAAAATTCAAGAGTATTTTACAAATATATGTTAATTCTTGTATTTAAGTCAAGTGAGGAAATTGGGTAAAGATTTAAAGATGGAATTTTTTTTTTTCCATTTGTTATTAGAGAATTTTCAAAGTTTTTATGGAAACAAATTCCCTTGTATAGAAAAATCAAATCACTCCACAATTACAAAATGTAATTTATTCACATATATTTGAATTGATTACATATTTTAAACATTTATCTACGTATTCATTCAAACAAATTTTTTTTTTTTAAATTTTATGACTTTTTTTTTTTTATAAGAGATCTTTATTTTTCTACATAAGATATTAAAAAGGTTATTTTTTTCCTATTTTATTTGACAGTGGCCAATAAATCTTTAACAAACAAATAGGCAAATATTGCCAATTTTTTTTCGTAAACCGAAAGTTATATACCGGAGAAGTCATGGAATCACAGTGTATATGCTTGGTTATTGGTAGGGAGGAAAATATTTCGTTTCCTAATTATTATTATTTTTTTATTGGTCTAAATATTTTTAAAAATGTTTTCTCAAGAAAATAAACTTATTAAAAATTTAAAAAATGAAAATTACGTCTATGATACATTAGTTACATTTATATATGAAAAATCGAGATCTGGTGATATAACACAGGGTCTTCCAAAAGTAGAACAGGTCTTAGAAGTGCGTTCGATTGATTCAATATCCATGAATCTAGAAAAGAGGGTTGAGAGTTGGAACAAATGTATACCAAGAATTCTTGAAATTCCTTGGGGATTCTTGATTGGTGCTGAGCTAACTATAGCGCAAAGCCGAATCTCTTTGGTTAATAAAATCCAACAGGTTTATCGCTCCCAGGGGGTGCAGATTCATAATAGGCATATAGAAATTATTGTACGTCAAATAACATCAAAAGTGTTGATTTCAGAAGATGGAATGTCTAATGTTTTTTCACCCGGAGAACTTATTGGATTGTTGCGAGCAGAACGAATGGGGCGCGCTTTGGAAGAAGCGATCTGTTACCGAGTCGTCTTATTGGGAATAACAAGAGCATCTCTCAATACTCAAAGTTTCATATCTGAAGCAAGTTTTCAAGAAACTGCTCGAGTTTTAGCAAAAGCGGCTCTCCGGGGTCGTATCGATTGGTTGAAAGGCCTGAAAGAGAACGTTGTTTTGGGGGGGGTGATACCCGTTGGTACCGGATTCAAGGGATTAGTGCACCCTTCAAAACAACATAACAACATTCCTTTGGAAACAAAAAAAACGAATCTATTCGAGGGGGAGATGAGAGATATTTTGTTCCACCACAGAAAATTATTTGATTCTTGTCTTTCAAAAAAATTCCACGACATACCCGAACAATCATTTATAGGATTAGTAAAACAATAGGTTTCATAAATAACATTTCACACTGATTGTCTTCCTTCCTTATTCTCTCTTGTTTGAATGTGTCATAGAGAGGAGTTGATACAAGAGTTTAAGTTATATAGGATAAAAAGAATTCGTACACTATTAATGTAATTAACCGGTTTTAACATATTATTGATTTTTTTTTCGAAATTACTATCAGGTTTGATATAGAAAATGAATAATCTGATTGGTTAAACCTCTTCACACTGTTCATGCATAAAATAAAAATTCTTGGTATATACCTTATATTAGTATATTACATATACAATAACATAATGTCATTGTCACACCCATTAGAAAACAATATTTTCGAAAATATTTTCTCCATTTCACTTTGTTTGTTTTACTTTTCAATTTAATCCATTTTCAAATAACGTATCTTTTCCTTTTTAGAATTTTTTTAATTTTAATTTATACTTGGCATGTTTAAGACAACAATATTAAAGAAAATTTTAACACATTTTACGTACCTTAATTTTAAAACCAAAAAAATTGATTAATTTTTTGTTTTACTTTTCTGAATTTTGTGTCGAATCAAAATGAGACGAATAAATATTCGATTGCTCCTAAGAATAATGACTTGGTCCCCTAGTTTTTGCCGACTAAAGCTAGCTGACAGAGTCACATAAAAATTAAAATAAACAATTAATCGATAATTACAATCTTTAAACCTAGTGTTCAAAACCTTATTTATTTAGATTCAATATTTTGCTTAAACTAACACAAACACACAAAAAAATAGACATAATTTTTCCTAAACATGTCAAGTGAAGGAGAATTAATACCCACAGGCGAAGATGAGCAATCCACTTATCATCAATCATCGTTCGATCGAAAAAACAGCTACGATCCCGAGACGGGAATTTACCATTCAGTCCTCCAACTTAATGAACAACACAAAATGTCCAATGACTATTCTAACCTTGACACAGCCAAATTTGTATTGTCACAATTTCCATCCCCTGCACAAGCAATGTCACAAATTGCATTAATTGACTCTTCTACTAACCAAAAAATAACCTACACACAACTCAACAGGTCCATTTTATCACTTGCCACGGGTTTATATCGCGTGTTAGGTGTGCGAAAGGGCGATGTAATTTTCTTGCTATCGTCAAATTCAATAATATACCCAACTATTTGTCTAGCTATACTTTCAATAGGTGCAATTTTATCCCCTGCAAATCCACTCAACACTGAATCAGAAATTGGCAAACAAGTACGTCTATCGCGCGCGAAATTAGCCATTGCTGCACCTGAAGAAGCTCATAAATTAGTCCACACAGGTGTGCCTACGCTTCTCACAACAACGCGATCCAACGATGAAAATTCGATTTCAGTACAAGAGTTGATTGAAAATTGTGACCCTTTAGAACTACCTAAACAACGTCCAATGCCTTTGGACACAGCAGCAATACTATACTCTTCAGGAACTACTGGTGTTAGTAAAGGTGTCGTATTAACACATGCAAATTTCGTTGCGATTATGAAACTTCTTAAGTACTATGTTGAGGCAACGTCGTCTCAGGACGACGTTTTCCTCTGTTTTGTACCGATGTTTCATGTTTACGGTCTAGCATTTTTCGGGATCGGGTTATTTTGTTCGGGTGTAACAACAGTTTTGATGCAAAAATTTGATTTGCAAGGTATGTTGGAAGCAATTCAGACACATAAAATTAGTCACATTCCAGCAGTTCCACCAGTGATTCTTGGACTAGTTAAGTATAATAAAGGTAGTTACTATGATTTATCATCATTGCGAAGCGTTACCTCGGGGGCCGCACCACTAAGCAAAGAGGTATTGTTGAATTATACGATCGCGTATTTAAAGTTGTTAGAGAGAATACACTTTTTACAACTAAGTTATACTTATATTTGATCACAAGAGTTGACGTTTAAGCCTGATTATCTTTTCATGAGTCAAACATGTGGAAAAGTAGTTGAATCCTAAACTTCTTGATTACTCTGATACCAAATTGAATTGTGTTGACTGTTTTATTTGATAGCTCAAGGTGTTAGTGAGGACATACTTTCTAGCCCTAAATTATATCATGTCTTAACAAAGGGCGGAGATAGGGTGGTCGCTTCGCTGAATTATTTTATTCTAGTGAATTCATGCCACTAGATAGAGTGTTTAGCAGTCTTTTGTCAAAAAACAAATCCTCAATCGGTTGACTGTCTAAACTTTCACCTTGTTGGTGAAATTTTTTACGGTAGACTATAAGGTCACAATTGATTTTTTATGTACAAATTGTAGAGGTTGAATTCCCTTTGACATCGTCTTGTGTTTATTTTTTGCTCTATTTTGAATCTCTTTAGTGAAAATCCTGATTCAACCAATGGTCTGAACAGGTAGCTGATGCGTTCCGAGAGAAGTTCCCTTGGGTGGAACTCAAGCAAGGCTATGGCCTAACCGAGACAACGGGTGCAGCAACATTTTTTGTGAACTACGAAGAGGCAAAAGCCCGTCCATCCTCGGTAGGAGTGTTGTTTCCGGGCTTCTCCGCGAAGGTAATTAATCATGAAACAGGGGAGGCGTTGCCGCCATTTAAAGAAGGTGAATTGTGGTTGAAAGGTCCAGGAATTATGAAAGAGTATTTTGGAAATGAAGAAGCAACTAGTGCAACAATCACTAAAGATGGATGGCTCAAAACTGGTGATCTTTGTTATTTTGATGACAAAGGGTATTTATACATTGTTGATAGAATAAAGGAACTCATCAAGCATAATGGTTATCAGGTATACCTAACACGTAGATGACGTTAGAGTCAGATTCATAATTTGAAGTTTACTATATATACACATTCAGTGGATTTCTTAATAAATATACAACTTTTGGACCAAAGTTACGTCCACCCCTACACGTACCCCGTTTGGCTTAGCTAAAAGAATAGTTGACAAGTATCAAGTGTAGGAAACACTTCAATACGTTAAAAATTGATTTTATAAATAAACAATTATGTATGCAAAGGGATCCTTATAAATATTTTTGAGTTGGTTTATATGTAAATACAGGTAGCTCCAGCAGAACTTGAAGCAATATTATTGAGTCACCATGAGATACTTGATGCAGCCGTTGTCCCGTGAGTCGTTTTTCATTAACGGTATAAAAAATAATTATACTGACAATGTATATTACTTAAACGAATAAATTATTATTATGCAGACTAGAAGATGAGGAGGCAGGACAAATACCATTGGCATATGTTGTAAGAGCAGCCAGTTCTGGTCTCACACAAGACCAAGTCATTCAATTTGTTTCTAGTCAGGTTCGAGTTTGAAATGCTACCACATTCCATGATTTAATTATTTATTGGTTTGATATTTTATTATTTGTACCTTTTTAGTGATTTTTGAATACATAATATCATTTATACCTTTTTAGTGATTTTTGAATACATATATATGTGTAGTGTTTGAACCTATTTACCTTTAAAACGATACAGTTGAATTTGAACATGTGATTTAAGGACATATGGACAACATCTGTCCCTAGGGCTAGATGTAGCTTGGTTCATTGCGTTCAACTAAATTCAATATTTTTAGTATTGAGTAAAAATATATGTGAAATTAAAATTACGTAAAATTATTAAATTTTAATGATAATGGATTCAATTAAGGATTAAAGATTAAACTCATTAAATTTAAATTTTGAAATTCGACGTTTTCGTGCAGGTAGCGCCATACAAGAAAGTAAGAAGGGTTAATTTCATCAATGCCATACCAAGATCAGCAGCAGGGAAAATTTTGAGGAAGGAATTGGTGCTTCAAAGCAATATGACAATTTTGTCAAAATTATAAGACGGTTTAAACACAAATTTCCATCGATAAAATGGACGCACCTATAGTGTGAAAGATATTTAAAAGTATTCGTGTAATTTTACATTGTAACAGGTCATTTGTCATGTTTTACGGGTTATGCTATGAATAAGCCAATAGGATCTGTCACATATCAAAATGACACAGCATGCTTAGTTAAATTACATGTTAATGAAAAATGTGTCACATGTACAAGTGACAGGTTCTAGCCAATCAAATGTCTCCATGCCAACTTCGATCTAATTGGTTGTAAAGATTTTTTTTTTTTCACATCACAACTCTTTCATTCCACAATTACAAATAGGAATCTCATAATTCAGAAATGACACCAAAATTCTAATAAGAAATTAGAGAGAGCTAGTGGATTAACTAATATATAATGTTATCTTTTGTTGGTTAGTACTAATTAGGATAGATTATGAAAAATTCTCTTATTTGTATTGTATTTATGTTTTTTCCAAAATTAAATAGTACCAAATTATAAATAAGTCCAACATTCAAATCCTAGCAATACAAAAGAAAAGAAACCCTAGCATCCAAATCGAAGTTCCAAACGATGGTAATCGCCAACAAAAGAAGAAATCAGTATTTTACAATCAAATTTTCAAAGGTATATGTTTTTTTTTACTTTCTGTAACAACAACGATGTTCGAGCCAACTTCATACAAATTTAAATACATGAAAAAGAGTTGTGGTGCGTTAAAGAAAACAAAGTCGATGAATATTGTAGATTTGGGTCAGGTGAGTTTATGGTGCATGAATTGAGTTTATTAATTGGGGTTTGTTGTTGGTTGAACTTAGATTCTATTTGTCTTTTGTTCAAAGTGTCTTTTCCTTGTTAATTTATTTCAATTGTTAAAAAAAGTGGAAAGACGTTTTTTGGCCATAGCAACAAACGACACATAAAATCTAATTCCAACCAATACAACAAACTCAATAAATGACTCAATTGGTATGTTGTAAACTCGCCTAATTCAGATCAACAATATCCATCGACTTGGCTTTCTTTGACGGCTTCACAACTCTTTGGGCTACATTTAAAGTTGTATGAAATCGGCTTAAATAGAAATTTTCATAATCTACACTACTTAGTACTATGCAGCAAAAAATAATACTATATATTATTTTCCTTTAAAGTCCATCTATTTCACTTAGAATTTTGAGTCATGCTCATGCTAAAGTGGTTCATTGCTTTAGAGAACTAAGTAGTGTAGAATATGATTTCAATAAAAGGGATGATGCATCTCAATCAAATATCATTTGAGAAAAACATAAATAGAAATTTTCATAATCTACACTACTTAGTACTAAAAATAATACTATATATTATTTTCCTTTAAAGTCCATCTATTTCACTTAGAATTTTGAGTCATGCTCATGCTAAAGTGGTTCATTGCTTTAGAGAACTAAGTAGTGTAGAATATGATTTCAATAAAAGGGATGATGCATCTCAATCAAATATCAATATGATATGTGATCACCTCAGCTATCACCAGTATATGAGTTCAATAAAGAACACAATCACACATAATAAATCAAGTCAATATATAATATCAGCTAATGCCCATATGCTTTGGCATTCTCGGATTACAATCTGCATTCTATAGTTATAAATTTTCCCTTTATACACCGGTACTCGTACCAATGCCCGTCACAAACAATTCTCAACACATCACACACAAACAATTAATCACATTGCCTTTTATTACCCCTTTTTCATCATTAGAATTAATCAATGTGGACAAGGCAACCCATCACCAAGTCTCATTACCCCAAACACATATCACAAGAATTTCATAGACTTAACAAGGGTTTAGAAATCCACTTGCCTCAATCAATTTAGAATTCTCTCCGGAACTTGAGCCTTACCCTTTCGTTGAACTTCCAACTCAAAGCAATCTATTCAAATAAATGAC